TATAGTGTTTTCACAAATACTATGCACATGGAGAATATGCGCATGGTCAACTACATGTGCTGAAATTCTTAGAAAGTTTTGGCGGATTTCTTATTGGTTTCTGTACTCCACTTCTACCCGAATTCATATATCAACTCCTGAGCTCAGCTGAGGAAAGCGAACAAATATACCAATACTAAGATCGACCAAAAATTCATATTCTCTTTATATAACATATACATACCAAATGATAATAAAATATAAAATATAAAGTAAACATTGGAGTTTCACCCGTTTTTCGCGGAGTGAAATGTGAAATGTGTTTTTCACATCACTAGGTTGAAACTCCATTAAAATAATAATTACATACCATGACTATCACTAATCATATTAGAAATTCACCCTAGTGATATAAAAAACACTTATCATGACTACTGCATCTCACCGCGAATATCGCCTTTTTTCACCAAGTTTTACGCCACCTCATGTGAAACGCGTGAGAACATATGAACGTTAATTCCCCTTGTTATCAATAAAATCTTCGCTGTGCGCAACAACAAGAAGGAGGAATCCACCTCTGTCTGCAAAGATTCTCCATCTGATCAATGTACTCATTCCCACCATAATAGCGAGCATTAGGATACCCCTCTGAATATCTACATCATAAAAAATATCTTTGCGCACGCGTGCAAATATCATTTTGATTACAGTTGAGTCAGTTGACGTTGAAATCAACACGTGCAAAAAATCATAAACTTTCTACTATAACCGTCTCCACTACAGCGGAGCGAAGCGTTTCACGATGTGCATTAATTACCAATTACAACACTGAGAATTCATTTGCATAATATTCCTTTTCCTATTAACAATGGAGTTTCACCCGTGATATGAAAAACACTAGTGAAAAACACATTTCACAATTCACTGCGCGAAAAACACATTTTAGCAGTGAAACGGTTAAAAATAGTGCGAGTATTTCACGTGAAATGGGGAGATCTGTCCGGTTTAATTCGCGAAGTGTCTTCAATTCACTGCGTATCACCGCGAATATCGCGTTTATCACATTGAGTATTACGCCACTTCACGTAAAACGGGTTGTGAAACTCCATTATATTATAATAATTGAATATTAATGGAGTTTCACCCTAGTGATATGAAAAACACTAGTGAGAAACATATTTCACGACTACTACAGGCCGCGAATAATATCGCGTTTTTCACCGAGTTTCACACCATTTCACGTGAAACGAGTTCAACTCCATCGAGAAAAATTATTAATAATTGAATAATATTCAAGGTAAGACGATTATCATCAACCTACTTGTTCGTCATGATAGAACCAATAGCATCGAGCACCGCCTGACTGGTGAAGTTTTCAGAAGCGATCAAAACTAGGTTCTTCTTTTGACGGGATCGCTCTTTTTCTATGATACCAGCAACCTGAAAATTTGAGAAATATATCTTCGCTTACCTCAGCTGAGCTCAACAGTTTACATACGAACTCGCATAGAAGTGTAATACAAAAACCACCGAAAATATCCTCAAAATTTCTGTCGTGTGCATATTTTCCCACACTTCAAAAACTCGATAATATTCAAAAGATTCAAATCATGCCCAATTCATGACCAAAAACCGTCACCGCGCCACGAAATTGCTCACCTCAGGATCAACATCTGGTAGATTCGCATTGAGCCTCTGAGCTTTCACAGATATCCCTCTTACCACAGACCATACCACACCACTACTATGAACAGCTATCCCTATACGAGCTAACATATTGTGAGAAATAACCTGACGCTCGACCGAATGAATATTTTACAACGATTATAGACCAAAATTTATCAACCGATTCACATTTTAAAACTTTTACATAAAAAAGTTTACATACAAATTCTGCTAAAAAACCAACAAAAACAATTCCCCGCATATTTCACCAACAAATGCAGATGATTATGTGCATATTTCATAACACTGAAAATAAAAGGCTGCCAATGAAAGCGCTCATGCAAACAACTTCACGCTAGGAACTTATCAAGGTGTGGTATGAGTGATGCTTCGCACAATATTTCACTTCCTCTCAAAAACACATAAAAACACTAATTTACGAGTATCTCAAAAATACCCTACCACTCCTCCGACTTCACCACGACCCACCCAAAACGCCTCTTCTTCAACAAATTCAACCTCAGAAACATCACTAACCATGCTCAACAATAATCACTTCTCAGGAGCCTCCACCAGGACTGTACCAGTTCGGCCACCAGGCGTGTCGCCTCTTACGACCAACCCAAGTCGTTCTCAATTTCACCGCGCCTGACGTAGTATCAACAACACATATAAAACCATATGCGAGTTTTCACTTATAATACATGTTCGGTTGCTTCAGCTGACCTCAGGAATTTCCACATTTATCATGAAAATCTACTCATGGTGAGAGTATTTCACATGTAGGAGTATATACATATACTATACATGTGAATTTGTTTCCCTACATATACTATACATGTGAATTTGTTTCCCTACATATACTATACATGTGAATTGGTTTCCCTACATATACTATACATGTGAATTTGTTTCCCTACATATACTATACATGTGAATTTGTTTCCCTACATATACTATACATGTGAATTTCTTTCCCTACATATACCAGGGTTTGACCGCTCCTTTCGGAGCTGCTGAGTTCGTTGCCATACCGCCTGGTGTAAGAAGTACTGCTATTGGAAAAAATAAAAATTTCCTCAAATATTTTCATCACCAATAGTTGACCATGTGCTCAATTTCTCACAATTTTATTCAATCCTCGTATACTAAAAATTTTCCGAAAAAAAATTTTTTTCCTCCACCACTTACGACGTTGGTTAATATTATCCTCTGGTTTAAAGCCTCTGTTCGTCATCACCAATTTCGGTGAATTCACATGCGCCCACAATTTCACATCATTTCCAATACTCGGGCACGCCACAGCTTGCCAAGTTCCGTGCTTCTCTACCCAGGAACCCTCAGCTTTAACACCTCAAAAATACAATGCCGCAAGAATCGAACCCGCGCCCTTTCGCTTACTCGCTTTATGCATTTCCAACAACTTACTCATCGATTCTTTCCCTGCCAAGTCGAACGGTTTGTTACCCTCGTTATTCTTCGACAACTCATTTGCTCCCCAATCTAGTAGCAGTTTAGTCTGAGAGAAAAACAAAAAACAACAAATACAACAAATACAACAACAACAACAACAACAACAACAACAACAACAACAACAACAACAACATATACATATACATATACATATACATATACATATACATATACAACAACATATACAACAACATATACAACAACAACAACATATACAACAAGAACAACAACAACAACAACATATACAACAACAACATATACATATACATATACAACAACATATACAACAACATATACAAAAACAACAACATATACATATACATATACAACAACATATACAACAACATATACAACAACATTGCGGAGCGAGCGAAGCGGGCGGAGCGTATTCTCTCCCTTTACTAACACTTTGTGCGTGCGTACAAATTATCCAGCTCGATCTAGAGAGGTTATGATCACATGCTATACACCATTCGATAGCTCTCGCTCTGGGGATACTAAGAGAAATATGAAATTAGGGTTCCGCCCGGACCATGTAGATTTCCGTGCAAAAAACATATTTTTGCAGAAAAACGCCAGGCATGGGAATCGAACCCGGATGCCGAGCTCCGCCCCTTCTCCGGGAAGGCCTAGTATACAATAACAACAACAACAACAACATATACAACAACATATACAAAAACATATACAACAACATATACAACAACATATAAAACAACAACAACAACAACAATAACAACAACAACAACAACAACAACAACAACAACAACAACAACAACAACAACAACAACAACATATACAACAACATATAAAACAACAACAACAACAATAACAACAACAACAATAACAACAACAACATATACAACAACATATAAAACAACAACAACAACAACAACAACAACAACAACAACAACAACAACAACAACAACAACAACAATAACAACAACAACAACAACAACATATACAACAACATATACAACAACAACAACAATAACAACAACAACAACATATACAACAACATATAAAACAACAACAACAACAACAACAACAACAACAACAATAACAACAACAACAACATATACAACAACATATACAACAACAACAACAACAATAACAACAACAAAGCAGAAACATCAACTTGTTTCCATTTCCAGTAAAACATATCTCACATTTCACTTCGCGAATTTAATAATCTCCCTTGTGAAATGAATGGTGTAAAACGCTCATTCCTCCGAGTTTTGCGCGTTTATGTCGGGAGTGTTTTACGTAAGATGTGATGATTTCTCTACCTGCGAATCGAGCGGAGCATATACCGCAACAACAGGCACTTTCGCGTTGTGCGTGCGTGCAGAAATATTCTGGCTTAACTACGAAGCCTAGGATGCCACCAGATGGATCAAACGACTCTTCTATATGCCGACTCGATTCTGCGAACACCACGAAAACTATTTTTGAGGGAGAAATGTCCAACCCGGGGATCGAACCGGGGACCTATGTCAAATTCATTGACCGAATCAATAGACGTGTGAGCCCCAACCCTGTAATTCGCAAAGTGTTTTCAATTCACTTCACATCGCGGATATCACGTTTTTCACGCCACTTCGCGTAAAACGGGTGAAACCTCAGCAAATCAATATCAGAAACTTATACAAGAATAAAAAAAACCAATTACACCGAAAATTTTCCTACCAAAAATCCCACCGAATCGCGCCGCGCGAATTTTCCCAACGAGTATAATCGTTTACGGGGCTAGTTCGAATCATTAACTTCAGCTAACTCTGCACAAAGTCTAGCTATGATGTTAATAAGACGATATTTCAAATTTCATACCAAAATTACCGTCAACGAAGAAACAAACATCCAGAGAAAACTGCCTCGTTAAAATTTATATTCCTATTAAGTTTCCGAACATTTCCTGTCACAACAGTTGTGGTTTATACACGATATAAGACGCTAATGCGAGTAGTACACGTTTTTCCCAATGGTATGGGTATCAAAATCTTAACTGATGTAGTCGTAGACGAATAATGAAAACAAACAAATACGCAAAACACTGGTGAAAAACATATTTCACAATTCACTACGGGGAAACCAATTCGCGGAAATTCACATAGAGTATCACGCCACTTCACGTTAAACGGGTTGTAAAACTCCACCATATACTCCGCTCGTTTTCACCTATACAATAGGACTTTCGCCCGCTTCACAAAGTTAAAAACCCGATTTCCGCGTCGTGTAATATATATTTTTTTCACGGGTGAAACTTCATCCGAAGAAAATTTACCATTTTTAAATCGTTCCTCTTCACTGCAATATGCAGAGCTGTGTCACCATTCTCATCGCGTTTATTAACCTAAAATTCATTTTCATATAAATCACCTCCACATCGTGAACATCATAAAACTTCACTTACGAAAAAAAATAAATTTCCCAACGAACCACCAAAATTTAAGAAATTCATACAACGGCGACGTACGTGAATGACAAAAATTCTAGTATTTTCAAAAAACAAAAATTGGTAACTACATAAGCTGAGACTAAAATATTATGCTACTCCACTATGAGAAAATACACTTGCTGATGACAATCTGAAAATTCTGAGAGGAAATTCCAACCTCACACTTCCGCACAAATCCATTCATAAACTCCCATAATAATCTTTGAAAACTCCCAAGCTCAGCTGAAAATATAACCATATATTTTCCCTCTAAAAATTTCATGAAATTTTTTTTCTAATTTTCCAACACTAGCCTCCCCAAAATTTCCGATATATACGTACCTGCGCTCCGCTTCGTAACAACGTCAATATTTTCCCGCGCAAACCTCGCTTAACAACAGCATGCAGCATCGTCCCCCTGCCGAACGAACCCACTAGTGAATTCTCAATCATATCAAAAACAATTTTCGGCAAAAAAAAACTACATTTTCCCCCAAAAAAGGGGCAAAATCACAGGAAATAAAAAATATCAATTACATGTTTTTCTGATAAATTCCACATGAAAATATGCAATGTATGAAATTCAACTCTCCGCATTTTCGCATAAATATTCCACAAAAAAATCGTGAAATTTCACAAAATTTCACATTTTTTCCGAGTAAATTCCACACAGAGATATAACAGATTCATAATACCACCAACCAAACGATTTCAGAACGTCATTCTACTATCAACCGACAGACCCCCGGTTCTACTCCCAGTATCGACATTTTCTTCCTACTAATATTAGAGTTTCACCCGTTTTACGTGAAGTGATGTCGTAAAACTCCGTAGAAAACGCGATATTATTCGCGGTGATATGCAGTAGTCGTGAAATATATTTTTCACTAGTGTTTTTCATATCACTAGGGTGGTGAAACTCCGATAAACCTCAAACCCTTTTGCAATATTCATACGATACATCAAATAAAATCGCCCGACAAATTTATAAACTAAAAACAGCACACTTCTTCACAATGGTCATCACTTTCACTACGCACAGTTAAATCTACTATCGATACTAATAGCAACAACACCAACAACAACAACGGTTTAGTCCTTTTCCCATTTCTTTTCTTCATCCGAATGCTCGTAAAACTGCCACAATAACACTCCCAGAATAATACCGGTAAAATCGTAACTAAAAACATAATTTTTTTTCACAAAAAAAATCAATTTTTTTCCACATGATCACCTGCGAGCTCCTCCCAAATGCATTACAATACCATCGTGTATCATCAACGATCGGTACCTAAAAAATGTAAAATTTTTTTCTGAGGAAAATTCGTAAAATTTGTTATTTCTCGTTAACTAAGTAGTGTTTCTAACTGCAACTTCAACACGGCTTAGATATAATAATCATCTATCACATACTAAATTGGAATGGTCATATTCATTATTGTTACTCATATATATCCGGGCGAGCGAAATATGCACACAACCCAGAACTATGCAAACTATCTGCATCATAAAAATAGAGTCATTCTTGATAACAACAACAACACTTTGTGCGGATGAGGAGCGTATTTTTTCTCGGCAATACTCACAAATTTTGTATATTACAACTGTAATGACATTGACCGTTTCGACTCAACATGTGATGTATCATGCTAACAACCATATCATGTTGAAGTTTCAGCTCAAAACTCTTATTCGCTAACGAGAAACACAGATTTTTCGAATTCGCCAAGGAAAAAATACGCTCCTTAATATTAGATTTTCACCCGTTTGACGCCAAGTAAAATGCGTTTTTCACATCACGGCCGAAACTCTATTAAACTGTCATCATCCCCCCCCTCACCCTCTCCTTACCACAAAGGTTGATGTGCGTTATAATATAGTACTCTAGATTGGATGCCCGAGCACACCGTGCATTGAGGTAGATAGTACTGAGAAAAATAACAAAGACACAATTCAACATAAACCAAATAACTACGACATGTCCGATGACGACGACAACAACAACCGAACGATTTAACACACAACCGTATCTCCAACGGAACGATTTAACACATGCCAAAACATCCCTCCCCCTACATACTACTACCTGCCTAACACCACCCTTCACCCTATCCAACCACGTCCTCCCATACCCAGATGATATCGCTGCTGTTGGTGGACACAAGTCCGATACGAACGGCCCTACTCGAGATCCGCAGGTGTGGCAACCAAGACTCTGAAGACAACAAGAGAATTCATAAATTCAAAACTATACTATATATATTATTAAAGTTTCACCCGTTTATACTATGTGAAAAACGCGGTGATATTCGCGGTGATATGCA